TCATTTTGTTTATATGATCAAAGTGGTGAAGGAAAACATGTGATCGATTCATTTCGACCAGACATCACATCAAATAGTTTTCAACGACCTCAATTTGATATGAATAGTGCCAGTGGAATATCAAAATTTATTCTGTTATCAACTCTTGAACAAGAAAACAATGGATATGTTCGAGATGATACAATATTCATCAAGACTATGGTTGATATGGGTGATATGAACAAAACATTATTGCCTTATGTGTTTAGCCTGAATCCAGGTCTTCCAATATATGTTCAACAAATGATGATCAAACAAGAAGCCGAACGGAGAGTTCAACGCCAGCAACCACAGCCTTCTGGCGCATAGGTAGCGTTCACGTTCGTTATTTATGTAATATAATAATAACAACTAACATATTTGATAATGTCAGTGTTAATTTTAATTTTCTTTTATTTCTCTTTTCGGTGTATATGTGCGTGCGTGTGTATGTGTGAGAGTGTATATCTTCTTTTTTTTCTTACTTCCTTACTCTCGTCCGCTTTAGCGAAGAGTAAAGAGGATATGCATGATCGCCCTCTCTTCTCCCCTTTATTTTCGTTGTTTCTCTCTTGCTTTTTTTTATATTGTTCTGAATATCTTTCGTGTGTGTGTGTATGCCTGCATACCAACAAGGGTATAAATAGGTTTTTTCTCTCTCTAATAAATTTATTCATTGAATAATCTACTGACTCATTTAACGAGTATCTAGTTATAATATCTGAAAATTTATGATACATGTCTAAAATAAAGTTAAAGTACTGGAGCATATTTTAGAGTCTGAATTATTTTTTTGAATAGTCAGAAAAATATATTACAATAGATCATATCCAACGAAATTGTGTGTTGATATGACTCGTCTTCATGTGCGATGCATATATAAAAAAACAAAGATTACTCATTGTACAATTTGATCGAGAGATTGATAACAAAAAAATAAGATGATTGTTTCCTCAAAAAAAATGAAAAAAACTTTTTGTTTAGCAGATATAATACTTTATGATAATTTTAGTAGTATCAATTCATTAAAATAATATCAAGAAATCTCTGAAATATTTGATGTAATAAACCCTTTCTATTCAAAATATGAAATTAATAATTGAATTCAGAAAAATAAAATCTTATAATCTCCTGTAATTTGTAAAAAAATCAGATTAAGTTTATCGACAGCTTATCAATCGACATCTATGACAGTAATACAAAATCAAGACGTTCTAAGCAAAATTTTCTTGTGTGAAAATAAAGTATCTTTTTTTATTTTTCAGAAATAAAGATAGGCAAATGATCTAAATCTTGTATTTTTTTAATTATAATCAATATTATTTCTCCAAAAATAAGCATGACTTCAGATGATCGATTATCTGTGTAGTATTTATATGTGATATATTACACCAATCTATATATCATGTTGGATTATTTGTATTTGAGTCAGATATAATAAAGAATTTTTTATATTTATCAAGATTTCTTATACGTTGTATTATGTAGTTCATTATTATTTTCTCAATAAAATAAAATCACGTAGAAATTACAAATATAATATCTCATTCATACTTTTATGAATGACTTATTTCACTTGAAGAGTATCATCTATCTGTTTACTTTCAGCATAGCATCGTAACAAATTCTTAATTACATAATTGTTTGACATATTCTTATTGACTTAATTAAAGCACATATTAATTATACATATAGTATTTCTCATTAAGTAACTCAGTTCATGCATTTCGAAAAATATCTAGTATGTTCTACCTGAGCTTTAATAAAAATAAACAAAATCTCTTAAAAGTCCGGATTATATTTTAATATAATAATATTTCAAAAAAATTCATGATTATATTAAGTTTTATAGAGCATTCCTGTCAAAAACTGCATGATGGCTAATCATTGGGTGACTGCGGTTGAGTTCTTCGTTTCGTTTCTTGTTTAATCAATAATTGTTGAACATGTATTGGAAGACCAGGATTTAGGCTAAACATATAAGGTAATAATGTCTTATCCGTATCACTCATGTCAACCATCACTTTGATGAACATTGTATCATCTCGAACATATCGACTGTTTTCTTCTTCAACCATTGATAATGGAATAAACTTCGGTATTCCACTTGCAATATTCATATCA